ATGATGAGAAAAGCATCACAGATGCGTGCTGCATTGGACAAAGAACACATGCATGCATTTAAATCATGTATATCTTACTTTTTACTGATGTAATTGTGAAATATGTCCTTTTTGCATTCATAATTAGGGGGTGGAACAGATGGTGAAGGCTTAGTTTAAAATAATCTGTCATTAAAATAACCTAGCCTACTGGTAATTCTTCACTCTAACTGGAGTTTAGGTCAGGGTAACAGGGTTTTTTGAAGCATTGGAGCACACTAGAAGGAACTAGGGACTTCATGGATAGTGTGAAATATGAGGATATTCTCCAGAAGGACACTGTAGTAAGACTCCAGTGAATTAAATTTGCCTGTAGTGGGAATATGCAAAAATGTCTGGGACAAAATTCCTCTGACAAATATAAATCCATTTACTATGATGCATTATACATAAGTGCATATTCGGTCAAAGTGCTACAGTGGGTTTCATATCCTGAAAGGAAATAACCCCACTATGCTTCAAATACTGTAAAAGACAGTGAGTATTTTGGGTTAAAAACCCATGCTTTACATTTTTGCATTATTCTGATGTCAGTGGACATAAATTATACTAATTTGCATTATTGTTCTGGGGTGCTGCAGCTAGTGACTTTTAAATCTGAGTCTCATTTCCTTCGTGTCTACCACATTGACTTGCTCATATGTGACAGAGAGAAACTTGTATCAGTCCTGCCTGGCTAATTTAGAACAGTTTTCAGGAATAAGGAAACTGACTCAATAAATCAGATACTTGCATGTCTTTAAAGCATTTATTTTAGTGTTCCCTGCAAGATTTCATTCTTTAACAGCTTTGAAGAGAGCATATAGATTTCAGCATGGTATTATGATAAATCTTCTTGAGGAGGGGCAAGCATTAACATTTGTGTCGGTTCTTTTTCATCTTAATCCAACCTTGGTTAATAATCAGAAAATTCTACATAGTGGGTAAGAAGATGTAATTAACCCTTTGACCCCAGAATCTTAATTGGTGCCTGTTGAAAACAGTGGGGCAGTTAAAAAAAAATAAATTAAAAAGTAGCCTGTGGTGATTGAAACAGCATAATACATAATGGTTTTCTGAAATCAAAAGTAATAGAGAGCTTCAGCTTTAATCACATTTTGCATAAAGCCAGTAAGTGTAGTTTTAAACAAGAAGTTGCCAGTCTACCTTAAATTGGATTGTGGTCAAAATTGGCATTTGGGGTCACCCTGACCCTTTCTCAGCTGCCACACTAGATGAGAATAGGACTGGGTTTATGACAGTCAACTACATTTACTCAAAAAAAAACCCAGAGAGAAATTACATCAAGAAAATTTTGCTTATATTCATGGTCTCTCCTTTAATGAAAATAGGACATTATGAAAACCCAGTTACCTTTTCAGACCCTACTTTAATATTATAGTTAACTCTGGAATGTCCAGAACAGAAATCCTATCTGCATGAGAGCTACATTGAAGCTGTTCAGAAATTCTGTCTGGAAAGCACTGTGGTGCTCCTTCCAAAAGAGATATTTGAAAGCTGACTCAATCCACTACCATTCTCTCATTTGTTTTGTCCTTAGTTATACATAAGTAACATGAATAATACTTCCAGATATTTCTCATTGAAACAAAATTGTTTGTGAATATGTAGTATACAGTGGTATCACATACTCTTCTCCAGTATATAACATAGCCTGTGTTATGTTGCCTTGAACCTTCTCTGAAGTCTGCTGCTCTCTTGGCATGCACAAAGGACGTACGCTTTATGAAAAATTGAAAAATTTCAACACGCATTACTTAAATAATAAATATTCATAAATAATACCTATGAATAACGAATGAGACAGTCCTTCAGAACTACTGTTTGACCTGTAAAAGGAACAACAACATTGTCACTAAAGTGCTCTGTCTCAGCCCTTTCTTACTAGTGGGAGGAACTGCCTTGCATTGGAAGCCGGCTATTTCTCCTCCTATTTTTATTGTCCTTTTTCTTAGGTGTTGGGACTTGAGCTTGGTACTTGGAGTATTTGTTCTAAGGTCTTTGTATTTTGGGCATGGAAGTAGTAAGATGTCCATTAGCTGTTAATCAGTGGCTCTTTCAAAACACGAGTAAATAAACTTTCTGATTTTGCTCTATTGAACAAAATGCTGAATTTGATCAGTAGTTGCACATAAGTGCAGCTTCAGAGAGGTGGAAAAAGAAATGGGGAAAGAATGACCATGACTTAGTACTCAGCTGGCTTAATGAACAAGTTTTATGGCGCAGGAAGTGACTGATCACATCCAAAGGTGTTGGTGTGCTGCGTTGGCCCTGCCAGTCCTTCAGTGGTGCCTCCTCAGTTACCTCCCTTATAAATTTGGGGACAAAAGTAAGGAGTAGTCTCCCACAAAGAAAGAGGGAAAAAAAAGGCTAAACAATTAAGCTATCTAAATGAGAGAATCAGAGTAAATGGCATGGAAAAGTAGTGAGTGCTTAAGATGGCTAACACTTCTCACTTCAACACCCTTCCAGTTGCTGTTGACTTTTAAACTTTTGCCATGGAGATTGAAATTTCTTTGTACAGCATTGTCAACTAGAGATAGTTTTATTTTTTTATATTTTTTCCCAGCAAAACTAGTTTCAGCCAATTTCAAAACTACACTGAGTGAAACATTTCTGCCTAATCAGTACTCAGTTTTCTTCAAACTTTTGTTTCATTAAGCCTGAATTCCTAAATAAGATGATGTGTAAAAAAGAAGAAAAGCTATCAGTGACTTGGAGGATTATTTTTTCTGGTTCTCGCGAAACTTTGTCCAGATATGTCAGATAATTACACACTAAAGCAGGGTGCTAAACAGGTCAGATCATAAATGTGCTTAAGCTGTATGTCATTCTCTCGAGTAACAGAGCAAAGAGACCACACAAAAAGCTGTATAAAAAACTGAGAAGAATAAATTTGTTTTATATGATACACAAATAACCTATGCAACATCTTTCCTCAAGAAAGGAAGATGCCGCAATCATGCCAGCTGCTGGGAATGGGCTAGTAAGAAATCTCTGGTATGCTTGTCATTACCCATATGGATATTCCAAGCACTGTTCTGAAACATCTGAAACAGACCCAGGGAGACTGCTGCAGATTTAGTCCTTTAGTCTGAGTCATGGTGACAATTCCTTGCTGCCAGTGGAGAATGGAGTTCTGTACAGGTGGCCAGGGAGGCAGTGTCATGGTTCTCAGCTTAACAGAGGGTTAATCCAGTTTCCTCAAAGGAACACGGGACAGAGAATCAGGAGCACTAAGACCTTTAAAGATTTACTTTTCTGCGTAAGAGCTTGTGCATAGTGGGAGAGATCAAGTGTGCAAAGGCTTTGATTGTCCTGGTATGGATCTAAGTTTGAACTTCACTATTCCAAATTTTCCACCTGTTATTGATGTTAAAAATTCAAGGAAGTGATGTTAATAATTTGAGAAAGAAATTATGATGATTTATAAGAGGCCATAAATTACTTGCATAATATAAATGTTTTTACATGAAGGAAATCTATGCAGATTTACATTTTTATTAATTCATAAATATAAATTAGAGCCTTCTTCTAGTGCAGTGTCTTTAGTGAGGGTTTGTTTTCCAATACACGGTCTATTATTTTTAGAAAACTCATATTTTGAACTAATTCCACCACCTACTACATCAGAGAGGGGTGAACTTTTGCCAAAGAAAGCTTCTGACTAGCAGCCTGTTAGAAATCTGTCAAGAAGCAGCAGAAGAAAAATATTATAGCCTTTCAGAAATCACTGTTGTGTATTTGCAAAGGACTGATTACATGATTTCGTTATCATGTATCTCCATCAAATTTATCTGCTTTTTTCCTCCCCAAACCAGGCTAATCTCTCAAATGCTACAGTTAATACTTCCTTTATATGTTCTTTTATCACCAGGGGATATTTGGGATGGGATTTTTGGGGATTTTCATTGTTCCTCACAACATTTGAGCTGTTTTAGCATTTCTAATTTCTGGAATTTTGTGATTTTACTTTTGCAGTAGTCAATGATTGTTTGCCAATAATCATCCTCATGACAGGCAGAAAGGTAAAGACATGGATAGTGTACGAAGGTAGTTTCTTCCTAGTGAAGATTTACTATTATTCATAGAGATATACTCCCTTCTGGATAGGCAGTGATTTACTCTGTGACAGTTTAGAATATAGTCCTCTGTTCATTAACTGCACTCAGGTTGCAAAAGATATGCATTAGTTGCTGCAATTGTATTTTGACTTTTGCAGTTGCAATGGAAACCACATCCAAAGACTTGAACCTGTCAAAGTAAAATCTGATCTAGACTTTTACACCAAAGGGATGAAATTCATAGCGTTTCTAGAGACCTGAGCTGTAAACATATTTGACAGTAATCTGCTGATTGGCTTTGTTGTCTCACAAAAGGAGAATGGTGTGTGCATATACGCGTGCATGTGCGTGCATGTGTGTGTAATCCTCAATTAATTTACAAATTATTGAGGTCCATAGTGGTTTGAGTGATGGCAGGATTTTATTTTCTCCTTTTGAGTTTTTGGAAATGGAAATTCTCTGCTTTGATTCTGAACGATGGGGGGTGATTTTTTTTATGTACACAGTTCAGTTGGAAGGTTATTTGTTTTCCTTATTTATTTCTTCATGTGAAAAAAAAAAAGGAGCATTTTATTTTTCTATATTTCTTCTATCAAGCAAATGAGATAAATGTTATACAGTATATATGACAGATATAAGCATGCCCATAAATTAACTTAATAATATACTCATCAACTTGGATTTAGTAATATACTCACATGATGTTTATTAATAGATAATAGATAATTAGATAGAATAAAAAGGAATTGTCTTAAGGGTTCAAATTATAACCACTTAAACAAAAGTCAGAATATTTTCCTCAGTTTATTCTGTGATGTCTTTGTTTGAATCTATTTCTACTTGTAGTTTAGAATTTTTTATTAATCTATTCACTTTTTTTTATCTCTTACTCTGTAGTCCCTGGATGGATTTGTATTTGCACTAAATCAAGAAGGAAAATTTTTGTACATTTCAGAAACTGTCTCCATCTATTTAGGCCTGTCCCAAGTAAGTACATGCTTTCAATTTTAGAACATAACTGTGTATGATGCATTCTTCTGATTATTATTATTATTGAGGAAATAATAATTTGGTTTTTGTATTTTGCGTGGATTATTGAATTAACTGTTTAAAGTTGCATTCTGTTCATCCTGAGACAGAACTGAAAAATGTATCTATAGTATTGGATGTTGAGATGTGTATGAAAACTTTTTGCCACAAAGGATCATTATTAATTTATTGAGAACAAATTAAGTTTCTTTTCTCAGTTGTTTTGAACTTTAAACCTCTATACCTGATAGGAAAGGGACACTCTAATAGTACTTCCCTTGTGTCCTATTACTGGATGTTTATGGAGTACCCTGCATTATCCAGGGAGCTGACACGATGACAGGGAGTCATTTGGAGTCAAGAAATGCTGAAAGAGACCATTAAAATGTCTTGCAGGGAGGGTTCCAACAAGGACATATTTTGATGCTTTCACCAGTGCTCACTAATATGAAAAGATGAATTTATAAAGTATAGTAATTTGGGATGTTTTGGTTTGGGATTTTATTATTTTTTTCATTTAATTGCTGACAACTGTTTATCAAAGATTAAAAGGCAAGGCAGAAGTGGGGCAAAAGTTAGTTGTTAATGTTTATTCCTAATCCTGCAGCATTCAGAAATGTTTTGGCAGGATAGCTTCTTTCTGCTTGCACTTAGAAATGAAGCAGAAATATTTTGCATGATGATTTTCAGAGTGGGACCATCGACTTCTACTGGAGTCACCCTGAGGAGGAAAAGAAAATCTGAAATAATACTTATTTGAGCTACTTTAAATTGGGACCCACACAGCTATGAGGAAGCAACTATTAGCATAGGCTACTTACTGTCAGTTTTGCTGTACCCCACCAACAATCAAATGGGAAATTTTAACATTTGATGACAAAAAAAGACTAATTTTAAATATTATCTGGTAAGAATACGAATAGAAGCTCATTAAGTCCTCGAAGAACATGCAAGCAATTGGCTGTAATAAGTTCAGTAATTGTTATTTTGTGCTGGCTTTGGCAAACCCAATGATAGAAATGGAAGCAAGAGCTGTTTCTAGCTCATATCAGTATTCTTGTCTCTCATTAAAGTCCCTCGTTTCGTAATAGCCTTTAATCCCTGACTTAATCTGTTTGGGAGTTAGTATCAAGAATCTCATATTTTGAAATCGGTGCACCACCATGTTGCTAATACAGTAAAGAATTGGAACTTTAATGTTTATTATTGTCTTATGTTCATATTAATCTGGTTTATGCATAGTATCCAACAAAGTCTAATAAGCCAGTAAAGAAGAAGGATGGATAATTAGTTTAAGCAGGTAAATGCTAATTAGGAAACTCCTGAAAGGCATCCATTATACACTAGCTTAAAACAAATTTTACAGCCCTGGTTAGTGGTGTAATCCAAATTCTGTCAAGGCAACTGCATTTTCTGTAATTGAGATGTGTATGTTTGCTTTGCATAACAGATGGCTCTGTATGCTTAGACTGATAGCTAGGAAAATAATAATTGCATTATTCTGGCCAAAAGAATATTAGCTCTTGGGTTTTGGCCATTTCAGTCAGTCCTCCTGCCAGCACAGCATATGCACATATATGGATTGGATTTTCAAGGAAATTGATGCATCTGGAATAGTGTGGCCATCTGAAATATCATCTGTTCAAGAAAAATTTGGCTTTAACCCTATGTTAGTCTCCCGTTAAAAGCATTTTCTGCCACTGTCTTTCAAACTATACAGTTGATAAATCTCTCCTTACTCTGAACTCACATCATGTTGTTCAGACTTTACACTCCATCTTGATCCATATACATTTCAGGAAAGGGTTCAGTTAAATGAAGCAAATTTTTTTTGCATATTAGATAGAGTATTAGAAATAGCAGGACAAATATTTCCATGCATTCACCACTGAAAGTACTGATGGAAAAACTACCAAAAATCAGAACTAGTACTATGGATTTTTACCGATAATAAATTAAATCTACTGAGATTTACTAAAATATCTGAGTTTTTTGCTTCTCTTCTGTCTTTATGGAGACATTTTCTATTTCTAAGACCTACGATATTTATATATTTTTGATATATTGTTCTCTTGGTACAGCATTATATTGCTAGTCGCTTAATAATTTTAAAAGAAGTGCTGTAGCTGCATCCTACTAAATCACTAGTCAAAGCTTATTTGTTGCTAAAAATATTGGCAAGTCTATCTGCAGAACCATTTCTCAAATATACATATTCACCATACCAAACTTAAAATACTAGTGAATTCTGAATTTCTGGGTTGGTGTTATGTGATACATGAAGTGTTGTATTTCTTGGACTGCAAGTAAACAATGATATACCCTATGCTGATACTCCAAAACTTTGTATTTATATAGAACCTCCAGACAGTGTTGCACTTAAAGGCATTATAATGTACATCACTATTTGAAATATCTTCATCAAGTGCTGACTTCAGAGTCTTACTTTCTAGATAACTTATTTCTCTAAGACTTCTTCCTTGTTTGGTGGGGCTTGGGGGGGGCTTTTTTGTGTTTATTTTTATTTTTAACTAGTATGCACGGAAATAATGTAAAATATATTTTGTATTTGCAAAGCAAAATCTCATGTCACCTAGATAAAGGAAAATAGTTTCTGTATTGAATCTCAGCAGGTGAAAGCATTTATGGTAGTCAATTTTACTCTTTTCTGAACATTCAGAGCTAGTGGTGCAAAACAAATGGATGCCAATGTTGTAAGATAGCTGCAGGACTAATAGTAAACAAATCTGATAAAACAATATCTTGGAAGGTGGCCTGGAAATTATAATAATAAAGTTACCCCTGGCAAAACTAACAGTATATTTGAACAGTAAACGAAAACCACAATAAATACCCTTTTGACATTACAATGAATATAGCTTATATGTAGACACCCATCAACATATGTCTTTTGAATAATTTTTTTGAATAATTTATCTTCCAGCTAATGCTAACCAAGAATTTTAAGCTAGTTTGGCAGATGTATATTTCAGAGAACAGAGATACATTTCAAAGTTTAGGAAAAGAGAGTTAGCCGAAAATTATGAGTGAGAGAAGGTAAAGTGTCAAAGCAAGAGAAATGGACCAACAATCTCCCAGTTAAAGAGTCTATGTATATTGACTTTAGTCTATATTAATTGTCATAGCTCAGCTTGAGGCAAGCTGAAATAGTTGAACATACTTTCCAGTTCTTTCATGAACTGTAGTATTTGTTGAAAGACCCAGAAATATCTAGAAGTTGGACAGCATGATCTGTGATGGTGTAGCCAATTCAAACATCTTTTTAACTGTGTCTCTGTAGTGATGTAAAAATGTTTGTTCTTCATACATTTTCCAAGTTAGAAGGTAATCTTTGATACCAGGGTAACTTCCATCTTTGGAATCCTCAGTCCCTGACTTCCCTTTAGAAATGGGATGAGATTTCAAAAGAAAATGTCTAACCACTGAAGAGGCACTCAAATCGCTCCTTCCGATACTTAGAAGTCCATGTGAGTGCTTCCCTGAGAGATTTCAATTCTCTAGAAAAGTCTAAGTCTGTATGTGTTTGAGACTTAGACCAAACATAAATACATAAATAATAACAAAACTATTAAAACACATAAATAGTAACAAAAAGGGAGAAAAGTCTATCCAGAAACAGAATAAAAATGTGTTATCCAGAAAGGATAAAATTGTCTGACATATGATGTTTCAGGTTCAATAGAAAATATTATGAACTAGGGTTGGCTAGGATGCTTTTACATTCAGGAAATAAGTTCTTAATCACCTCTTACAATGGTTGTACTCAGCAAGGATTGGATGTGTAGTTTCCTGCCTGTGAGGTCCACATCTTAAAGTAAAATATTTCCTACCTTTGCTCCCACTTGTCCAGGACACAGAGCAGGTTTGCAGATTGGCCTGTTGAAAAGAGAGCTCACAAAAAATGAAGAGTGCAGCTGCTGGCATAATAAGAGATAGATAATAGAGATGAAAAAGAAAGAAAACAAGAATAAAATTTTGAGAATTTATCCTTTTGAAAATAAAGCAGGCAAAACCAACAGGTATATTATGGGTGTACTCTGTTACTGGTAGCATAACCTATTTCCTTATTTTCCCTTTCTGTGCATTTGTTCTATGAAATGGCAAATAAAATTATAGCTACAGCACACAAGTACAAGGTCAAATAAATGACAGTACTCATTCTATTTGTGAAGCTATTCTGAAAAGGAACCATGGTGCCAAATGTGGTTTATTTGAATAATAAAGAAGAATTAGATTCCCCTGATAACTTGGCTGAGGGCCAATAAATCACTGGAGGTTAAGAATGCTTTGCAACTGCCATGTATTTCTTTTGCTTTTACGAAGCACAAACCTCAACTACTATGCTCTACCTGTTTTTCAATGCAAATCAAGTTGAGGTTAGTAGATGGTTAAAGGATTGCTTTTGTGCTCTGTTTGCTTAAAAAATAATATAAAGCAATCTTGACACTTGCACTGATTCTGTAAATGCTATCTTATTTTCCTCCTATACCATTAAAAAATAAAATATAATAATATAATAATAATAATGCAAAAAATAACAAAATCCAGAGCTGTAATTTTTTTAAAGCAAAACTAGACAATAACCAATTGTGAAAAGAACTTTCCTTTTTTCTTTGTGATGTCATCGTTCTTTTAGTGTTCTGAATTTAAATACTTCTACATAAAAAAGACAATTTCTGCTCATACAGTAAATTGGTACACTAGCACTGATAATTTTTTAAGTTTTTCCCCTTTAAACAGAGCAAATAAAAGCCTGGGAAATTCTGTGTTGATCATGTAAGGCTTTAAATTTTTTCTTCCTTTACATTCAATGTAAGAATATTAATTTACTGTTGTATTTTATGCTAAAAGAAGTGAACAAGGGAGGAGTTCTATTGAAATAGAGCAGCTCTGAGGATTCCGAGAGCAGTAAGAAAATATAAGTATCAAAATAATTC